TACATACTTACTATGATAATTCCCTACAGTTGGATTTATATTGTTCTATTTGAAAACTGCCATTTCAAATAATGTCATTTCAAATAATGCCAAAACTGCCATTTTTAATAATGGTGTACATATGAAGTAAGTATTAAATTTTGTGATTAATTCTCAAACAAAATATAATTAAGCTTGTCACAACTTCCCTACAAGATGTAAGCACTTTGCCCAAGGTGAGTCTTCAATTTTGCAAATTGTTCACAAGTAAATTAGGTTGATAATTTACTGTAATTTACTGTAGCGTGACACAGGAAAAGATCTTTACCTTTGGAGATTGACATGATCGCTGATGTTGTATTTTTATGTAATTCTAATCTATGAAGTTAATTAGAGGATTTAATTTAATTACACAGGGCATATGTACTGTGCTTTGAGTTCTGGAGTTGATTGAAAAACAAGATTGCAAGGATGCTTGTGTCCACTTTTAGAAGATGGCATACTAGGAGATAATTGAGTCTCAATAATATTAGGATTTAATAGAATAAAATCCTAATACAGCAATAAATACAACTTGGTGAATGACAATATTTCTTTCTGTCCCATCACAGTTTCAAAGAACATTTGAATCACTAAGAAATGTATCCAGCAAAGCTGATCTACAGAAAGCCTATCAGAAGTTTCGAAAAGATCTGGAAAATCTTGATTATTTGGCATACAAACGTCAACAGGTAAGAATGGAAGCTTTGTAGGAACACAGAACACTGGCTATAAATACAACACAGACAACAAAGATGATACTCACAGACTTACTGTTCTTTCAGACAGTTATATGCTTCATGTAGCATGATATTACATATCATATTAAGGTCAGGTAAGCCATAGGAAAGGTGGAAATAATTTCTAGTGCAAATTATATTGGAGTGCTTTTTTACTTCTGAACAGGCTGCTTTGTCTTACAGAAAGATGTGTGAAACAAGTAGGTGAAACTTAAACTTAGCAGGCTATTAAATATTGCATTAACACACAACATTAGAGCATAAAAATATTTGGATCTTTTGATTTGAGGAATGAACTACATCTGTAGAAGTTATTGGAATCAAATACTGACTGTATCTGCAAACCATTGGGGTTTAGTTCTTTAGGAGTGAACTGAAAAGGCTAGATTGCATCAAGATTTAACTTTCAGTTTAATCTTAGTCATACTTGCTGTCACTTATGCATGGCTTTTGTGAGAATGTCTATTCTTATAATAGATCCTCACTTATTTTTGTATTCTTAGAGAAACAAGGCTTTGCTTTTTCATGTAAATATAACCCATTTCCTCTGTGTGCTGTGTGTGCAGAGGTTGGAGGGTTTTGTTTTCTGTGTATAAGTTGGGTCACTAGGTGTCAGTGTTATCAAACACATCCTTTGTTTGAGGGCCACTCACTTCCAGTCTGTTTCCCTCAGGTAATTGATTAGATTGTTAGAAAATCAGTAAAAGGCTGAGAGGCAGATGGTATCTGAACATGAGAATTTCTTGTTCTTGAGTTAGGGAAGCCAAGGAACGATTTGCTTGGGTGAGGTTCAGTGTTGCATGCGCTTTTCCTGGTTGTAATATGACATGGTTCTTTGTGTCTTCTCACATGAGGCTACCAGCAAGCAAAGATGGTGTTTCTACTGGKGACTAATGCTAGCTTTAGCTTCTGTTGTGTTCCTGTAATTACATCAAGCATAATAAATGTCAAATCTGTATAGGGTTAGAGAGCATTTTTGAGCTGTGAAGGCATTCTAGTTCTAATAATTCCATCTCAGACTCTCACCATGTTTTTCTTGGGAATAGCTTRCTTTAGTCTGAATTCTCATTCTTAGCTTTGCAAAATTCCCTGCTATTTCAGGTGATGTGTGTCTAGTCCTGTAGAAACTGTGTCAATAGCGTACTGCATTCTTCATGGAGCAGGACATCTTTCTTCCTGTTCTCAGGTCTTTACTACCCAACTCGTACCCACCTTTCAAGTATTCTGAGACTCTTGACATCCTTACTTGATATAAGGTGTGCAGATGCCTTCCCTATGCTGTTTCTGCAGTCTTTCTTCTCAGCAGATCTGTACTGGCAGAAGCTTTTACATTTGGATGTACTAAAGCTGTATTGGCTATAAAATCATTTCCTGCTTTCCAAAAGCAAAAGATTTACTTGTGTGTGCATTTTTTTCTAACATCTTCTAAAATGCTATTCAAATTTTAAGAAAATAAACTGGGCAAAAGCTGAAATTGGAAAATAATAAGAGACTAGAGATGTTCTGTTTGTCTTAGTTGATTTACATTATATACCAAAACAGTTGCTTTATGGTTTAGGATGTTGTTTTCCTGAGTAGTATTTTTACCTGGTTTTGAGATGAATATTCCGTTGAGTATCAATAGAATGTACTGCAGAATCTGCAGAGTGAGTTTTGACAAGTTGACATATCTGTCAGCTATAAAAAGCATTCTGAGTTGCTTCCTGTTTGGGAAAGAAAATGATCCTATGAAAAGATCAGTGTTCAGTGTAATTATTTTGGAAAATGCACAGACCTAGATTGGAATTGGAGCTCTTCAGAATTTAAGGGATTCTTTTTTTCTTTGAGGTTTGGGGAATGATCCACCTTTAATTGATAATATTTTATATGCTCTAGTAGATTAAGAAAATAATCAAAGCCCTGATGGTAAAATGTTGAGTCATAACATCTTGTTTGGAGAAAAACCATAATTCAAAAGCAATAGTCAGTAGTTTTCTGCTTCTGCCCTTGTTTCTTAGACGTGAGACATGAAGTGCAACATAGCAATGTAATTTCGCAGTGCTGAAGTTTTCAGGACAGATGAGAGATTACAACTTCGTCTTTTAAAGGATATTTAAAATGATCCACGTTGATTCTAATTTCTAAGTATGGAACAAACCTCTATGAGTGGTGGAGGTAAACAAGAGACAAAAATGTCGGGAGTGTTGATTTAAGTCATGTTTTTTAAGTTACAGTTTTCAAAATGAGATAGAAACTCTTGCATTTTCAGATAGCAAGCAGATTGCTGACAGAAATGTCTTTTTAAAATGGGCAATGAGCCTACGAATTATATTCTGGCTTTCTTTAAAAAAAAAAAAAGAAGTTGTTAGCATGTATTGGCTAAACTTCTCATAGCTTTCTGAGTCTGATTTTGTGAATAGGCTGAGCAGATGTAGTGTGAGCTGATGCAGAACTAGTCAGAGTGTCTACCTCCTTTGGTTACTTGGGTCGTTGTAAGGGAGGAAGGTGGGAATTTTTTGGAGCAGGAGGWTCTTCACCCTTAGCGGTGCTCATAGTGCTAACAATGCCTTTGGGATGCCTGTAATAGTGCTGGCTGTAACTCAAAGATGTTCAGTTTCTGCTGAGGTGTTTCTAGCAATATGACAATCCAAGAGTTGACAATGGAAGCTTAGTGCATGCACACACACAAAAAGAGTATCCCCTGGTAAAATGGTATTAATTTAAGGATTAGTTATTTGATTTTCATTTTGTGCCCTCAGGCCAGTTGTAGATCAAAGGACTTTAAATTATGTGAAACTGTTGAATCATTTAGGGATTACTTCCTGATCATGGTTATAGGCAAAGATGTTTTAAAGGGTCACCAAAAAAAATGAAGTTAGAAGCTGCATCAAATAAACTTAGGAGGCACCCAGGGATTTACTTTAATATGGGAAATAATGTTTCCAGGAGATGGAGCAGACCCCTTATCTGTCTTGCTGCAGAGCATGATCATCAGTACTGTAGCTGTCTTCATGGTCATACAGGTCATTTTGCATTTTAGAATTCTTAATTTTGGAAAGAGGATTTGCTTCTACAGTCAAGCAGGACTTCTCTTTGTTTGAATGTTTTTTTAAGATGCCATTATGTTAAGCATATCTGTTTATAAAATTACTGTATTTCAGAAATTGGGGCCAAATTTTCAGAAAAGATTATTACCTATAAACTGTTAGAGAGCTTTGTTGTGCAACAAACTCTTTAAGAAGGATGCTGAAAATTGAGGGAGCTCAGAGTAGAGGTGGATTATTTGTTGTCAAGAAAACGTGCATTATGGTGAGAAACTTAAGGAGCTCAAATTCTGTAGCTTCCCAGGAAAAAWTTATGGCTTAGAAATATCACAGATAGAAGTAGTCAACTAAGTATTCATTCTAGTACAAAGAAGCGCTGAAGACCAGAAAAGATGGACCAGAAAAGACTAGAAAGACCAGATGAAAAAGAAAAGTTGGACCAGAAAAGACGAGAAAGAAGATGAACAATTTATTTTGGACATTTAGCTGTTGAGATGGTTTGGTTAAGAGGTGCAGTGTATTTACAGCCTTATTCTTTGTATACGATGTCTGTAGAAGACAAGCAGTAACAGAGGTGCAAATTAAAGGGCAGAAATTGCTGAGGAATTTTTTAGCGCTTGTTCTAGTCAACAAAGGTGACTAATTTTTCAGAATTATTTTTCTAGCTTTAAAAGTGATAGAACTGTTAATTGTGTATTTGAGGGTTAAAGGAAGAATTATGCATTCTGAATTGCCAGTCTGGATTAATAAATGGGTGAGTTTACTTGCTTTGTACTTCCAACTTGTCTCTGCAGGGCTGCACATGATAGAATTCTGGTTTAAGAATTTTCAAATAAATCCTAAAGGGTTAAGTATTTAACTCCAGAGTAATTTTAAGGAGATGTAGGCACTTGATTCCCATAGGCGTCTTGGAAAATCCCTTTTTTTCTTTGTTTTGTTGATATTTAGTCATATGGAAAATAAATTGTATTATTTATGTTTCCATAATTCTAACTCTTCTCTCGGTGTAAGATCAACCATCAATAGTGTTGGTTTGTAATTAGAAATCTAATCAATTTATGCATTCATTTAGAAAGTGAACAACAAATCAGTCTGAGTAGTGAAGAAAGTATAAAATAATGATAGTTCTATTTTCAGCACCCAAGGACTCTTAATAGGTTTGTAAGYGTAGGCTTGTCATGCCTTCTACATCCAGGACGTTCATATGCTTTGCTAGTGGGTGAAGAACTTTTCACTCTTGCTGCCTGCCCAAGGTGCTGGTGTTGTCCTATGTACAGTCTGTGTTATGCATTCAGGGTAGAGGCCAGGGAGGAGTTTTTGCATCTCATCAACTTTTTATGCTACTTAACTTTACAACTCAAGTCTTCAATCTTTGTCTTTCTATAGTGCTCATCTTGCATGATTTTAAGCTATAAGTAAATCTCCAGGCCCTCATTTCTTTTATGCATGTATGGAAGCCAGACCTTTGAAAGTTGTCTCCTCAATTTAAAAGAAGGAAAAAGCAAATGACAAAGTCAAGAGAAAAGTGTGAGGTAGCAGAGATTTTTTTGAAGTGATTCTGTTTTGTAGTAATGACAAATGGCTTATGCAGGATGCTTATTTGGATGGCTTGTGCAGAGTTGTGTAAGTTTGGTCAAATTTGCACCTGAAATGCCTGAGACTTGTCCTGCATTTAGTACTAAAATGCTCTTCAATGCTAATAGCTTCAGAATCCAACTTTCATGGAAGTCAATGTGATGAGGGATAACAGCAAGTTGATAATAGTAGATGTTTAGTGTTATTATGAATGTAAATTATGATTTGAAAAGGATATTAACATTCCTGTTAAAAATAAAGAGTAGATGAGGTTCCCCTTTTGGACAAGTAAACTTGTATCAAAGATTGGAAGAGGAACCTTTCATACAGCTGTGGAAGGTGGATGAAACTTAA